CATGTTGCGACGGTGTCTCGGTCATGTTTTGATGGTGCCCTGGTCATTTTGTGACGGTGTCCCGGTTATGTGATGATGGTGTCCAAGGAAGAGATGGTCGATGTGTTGAAAACAGCAGTTGTTTCCAGATTTTTCTTTTTGTCCCGGTTTGTATCTTGCTATTGGGGTCTCCAGCTGGGCTAATTTTTCTAACTTTGTTCAACCTTTTACATCGCACTTGTCAGAGTTTTCACCCCGATCATTTGGGAGAGGCCTTCGAGGCTGAACAGCAGCTGTTGGCGAAAGAGTGGCTAGGCTGAACAGCAGGGCTGGGCCCAAGGCTGGAAGAGGCTCATCAAAGGCAGCTTTTAGGACTCAAGATGGTTTTGAGGCGAAGGTTCCTGGTGGGACAAACAAATTGATTACCCTTTTTTGGGGGGAGGTAAAGAGAACTGGTCGTGTTTGTGCAAAGCTTTAGACTTATCACCACTTAGGGCATCCCTTCAGACACCGGCTGAGGATCATGGGCATTTTCGATGGAGGCAATGCTACCTGTCAGGCTCCTAGACAGGTCATGTGAGTGATGCACAGCTTCGGAGCAGTTGGGTTGGGAACGCTTTCTTAGAAGAAAGACCATCTCTTCCATTCCCTTCCCTTCCCTTCCCTTCCCTTCCCTTCGGTAGCAGGTTGTTTCCTTTTCAATTTCTCATCCACCTGATCTAGGTCGCAGCAGCCTAAGCTGTTGTACTGGCTCAGCAGCGACGTGCCTCGGTGGTTTTGCCAACGGAGATTTAGGGCGGACGCATTTTTCAAATTGTTCAAGCTTTGTTTATTTATTTATTTTTTGTATATGTATATATACATTTGGAGGTTTGTTTGGGCAGGATGTGCTTTGAATTCTTAGCTTGCCCACCCACTTTCAAAGTCACTTCGTGTGGGCATTAGCAGGGCAGTTGTGATCTCTTTCTGTACAGGGTCAGAGGAACATCAAAATAGATTCTGCTTCAGAATCTGTTAACCCTGAATGCTCACCCTCCAGATTGAAGCCCAGATGCTGAAGTGGATAACCTTGATCCAAGCTGCAGGACCCGAGTTCATCATTTCACCACTTCAATGTCCACAAACGATTTTGGGCTTCCCGCAGGCGATTGGATTAAAGACGCTACTAGGGGCTCCTGGCCTTACTACTAGGAGCAAGAAGCCACTAGGAGGCAAGGGCATCGCTACTAGGAGCGATCGGATGCTAGGAACATCTCCGTTTTACTCTACCGGGTCATGACGTGGCCGCCGTGACCCGCCGTGGCCGCCGTGACCCTGGTTGAGTCTGATGGAATCGAACAATGACTGGACACATCATCTTCCTCCGCTTCAGGGTGAGCCAAGAGCTTTGGAGCCACGTGAAGGTTGGGTGGCTCATGTGCTGAGCCGTGGGGATGGACTTACCGAAGGTTGGGTGCTTGAAGACACATGCAATGAGGTTGGTGAGTGCGTTCCCTCTAGATGAAAGAATCGAACAGATGAAATGAGACCTCTCCCAAGCTCCGGACGTTGGTGTGCTCTTGGGTCTTTAGATCCCGCCATATCTTCGGTGGCAAATGGGATTTACATGTGCCCGAGTCCCGAGTCTGTTTGCTCCACAGGCTTTCGCTCCCAACTACCACGTGCGTGAGCTCGAAGCCCAGCTTTTGGACAGGCTCCGTCACTTTGATTTCACAGGGACTGTGATGAATCCTATGATCCTGGATTTACAGTCTTCAAGCTTCACAGTGACTTCACAGTCAAGTGGAATCCGAGACGAAATGCATTTGTGAACCTCAGGCTATTAGATTCAACACCCCGCATGCCAGCGGCCCTAGCTCGGGTCAGAGACGTGCTACAGGGAGATGCAGTCCAAGTGAGACCTTCAACACCAACTCATTCAAACATGCCCAAATTATGAGAAGCACATTTAAGCAAGTGCTGCCGAGGGCAGCGATGCTTGCTTTGGAATGGCTAAGCCTGAGCAGAGTGTGACTCACCAGGCTGGAACGGCACTACACATTCTACAACCTTTGGGATCGCATGAAGCGTGCCGGCTCGATGCAGGCGAGTGAAGTGTACTCTTTTCCAGACGGACCTTTTTCGAGTTATACTTCCTTGTTTTTGAGTACCAGTGTTTGCCTTTGTTTCCTGTTTAACCTCCAAGCAGTTTGAGGTCCTGCGGTCTTCCGTCGTGTAGGTTTTCGCAGCAGATTGCTACTTTGGAGTTGTGGCGATGCTGCTGAACGCACTGTGGCCGTGCTGCATTTTGCGGGGGAGATGGAGGTCTTAGACATTCTGTGTAGGCTGGAATCTACCAATTCCGATGTTGCGTTGTGTATGCCACAGTCGTTTGGTTCAAAGCCTTGGGTAGTGACATGCCGGCTGTGTGAACAAGAATCAGATTCCACTTTCACTGGCTCTATTGAAGCCAGGGAAGTTGATGACCTGTGAGTTCTTTCAAGAGTAATTACATGATTCTGGACTAAAACACACCACATGGAGTAATTCACAGCCATCACATGGACAAACTCCGCGTTGACCCAAAGAGTTCCAATTCCAATCACCTCCGTCACATGAGCATGAGGCCTGCCATTGAGTTCGAGGATGGCCTGAGCACAGCGCAGGAGGCGGCCTGGGCGCTTTGGATGGGTCAAGATTGTGTTCATGTCCTCCCGGTGCCTCAGCGCGAGAGCGGGTCGTGATTCGCGACCCTCGAAATGTTCCGCCAGAGACGTCTTTTCTTTCGCACCAGTGTTTGGGCGGCTTGTTCACGGTTTGGTGTTGAAGTCCTTTGCCTGTGCCGAAGGTGGCCCATTAAAGTAGTAAAGAATAAAGCACGCAAACTCCCCTGCTCTTGACACAGGCTGAAGAACATGTACTATATAGGTTCATTCCTTTCATTCATCTTGTTTACAATGTAGATTCCTCACAGATTGTGCCAGCACACATTCTAAATGTGCTCAGATCTTCCTGACGGCCGTCGAGATGCTGGAGCGGAACAATGACACTGAAGGTCCGCGCCCTATGGGGCCGACCATCAGGTCCGACCACCGGTGCGTTTCACAGCCTACGAGCAACCTTGAGGCTTTGGCAACCTGAGCTTTGCCTTCGCATTTCTTTTGGCATATTTTGCACATCTTGGGTGTGCTGTTGCCTCCTAGTAGCAAGGACGCTACTAGGGGCTCCTGGCCTTACTACTAGGAGCAAGAAGCTACTAGGGGCTCCTGGCATCGCTACTAGGTGTTTTCTGTCTCTCTATCATTCTCTATCTCTTCTGGGTCCTCAGGTGCCAACTGGACGATCCCTCGAGAGCCCCTGGAGCTCCAGTGACTCGGCCGAATCACGTGAGGGTTCTGCGAGGCATTTTGGGTGTAAAAACAGTTGGTCTAAGCAAAGCCCTCAAGACACAAAACAGAAAACATCCCCTGGAAGGAGATTAAGATGATTAAGAAAGCGGCAGCTGCAACAACTGCGAACAGCTGGCACAAGTAACAATCGAAAGAACGACAAGACCCTTATGCTTGTCCACGCTAGCCTGCTAGCCTCCTCGATATTGTGACTCATGGCCTTTGGGCAGATGTTGCAAGCCTCTGAATCGGCTCTCGGCACTTTGGGAACAAATCGGCACAGACTGGACTTTCCATCCTATTCCATTTACATCATGTGGCCGGCGCTTTCCAATCGGGCAAGCACGTCTCTTTGCGATGCTTGCACCGCAAGACGCGACCGGAGACTGCAGGCAACCAGGTTTACTTTCCTG